TGGAGCTTTGGGGGGTTCAATGCTTTGGGGTTTGGTGCATCAGGGTTTTGTCCATCCAGGTTCAGTGTGTTGGGATTTGGTGCATCAGGGTTTGATGCTTTGGGGTTCATTTCTTTGGGGTTTGGTGAATCCGGCTTTGGAGCTTTGGGGTTTGATGCTTTGGGGTTTGGTGCGTCCAGATTCAGTGCTTTGGGGTTCAGTCCTTTGGGGTTTGGTTCTTCAGGGTTTGGTGCTTTGGGGTTCAATGCTTTGGGATTTGGTGCTTTGGTGCTTTGGGGTTTGGTGTGTCCAGATTCAGTGCTTTGGGGTTTGGTGCTTTGGGGTTTGGTGCATCGGGGTTCATTTCTTCGGGGTTTGGTGCATCCGGCTTTGGTGCTTTGGGGTTCGGGGCTTTGGGGTTCGGTGCTTTGGGGTTTGGTGTGTCAGAGTTTGGTGCTTTGGGGTTCATTTCTTTGGGGTTTGGTGAATCCAGCTTTGGAGCTTTGGGGTTTGGTGCTTTGGGGTTCAGTGCTTTGGGGTTTGGTGCATCAGGGTTTGGTGCTTTGGGGTTCATTTCTTTGGGGTTTGGTGAATCCGGCTTTGGAGCTTTGGGGTTTCGGGCTTTGGGGTACTTTTCTTTGGGGTTTGGTGCGTCAGAGTTTGGTGCTTTGGGGTTCATTTCTTTGGGGTTTGGTGAATCTGGCTTTGGAGCTTTGGGATTTGGAGCTTTGGGGTTTGGGGCTTTGGGATTTGGTGCTTTGGGGTTTGGTGCATCGGGGTTCATTGCTTTGAGGTTTGGTGCTTTGGGGGTTTGGTGCATCAGGGTTTGGGACTTTGGGGTTCAGTGCTTTGGATATGGGGACTTCGGGGTTTGGTGCTTTGGGGTTTTGTGTGTCAGAGCTTGGAGCTTTGGGGGGTTCAATGCTTTGGGGTTTGGTGCATCAGGGTTTTGTCCATCCAGGTTCAATGTGTTGGGATTTGGTGCATCAGGGTTTGATGCTTTGGGGTTCAGGGCTTTGGAGCTTTGGGGTTCGATGCTTTGGGGTTTGGTGCATCGGGGTTCATTTCTTTGGGGCTTTGTGCATCTGGCTTTGGTGCTTTGGGGATCATTTCTTTGGGGTTTGATGTATCACGGTTTGGTGCTTTGGGGTTTGATGTTTTGGGGTTTGGTGCGTCCAGATTCAGGGCTTTGGAGTTCGGTGCTTTGGGGTTCAGTGCTTTGGGGTTTGGTGCTTCAGGGTTTGGTGCTTTGGGGTTCATTGATTTGAGGTTTGGTGCTTTGGGATTTGTTGCATCAGGGTTTGGTGCTTTGGGGTTCAATGCTTTGGGATTAGGTGTGTCCAGATTCAGTGCTGTGGGGTTTGGTGCATTGGGGTTTGGTGTGTCCAGATTCAGTGCTTTGGGGTTTGGTGCTTTGGGGTTTGGTGCTATGGGGTTCATTGTTTTGAGGTCTGATGCTTTGGGGTTCATTGCTTTGAGGTTTGGTGTTTTGGGGTTTGGTGCATCCATATTCAGGGCTTTGGAGTTCAGTGCTTTGGAGTTCAGTGCTTTGGGGTTTGGTGCTTTGGGCTTCATTGCTTTGAGGTTTGGTGCTTTGGGGTTTGGTGCATCAGGGTTCGGTGCTTTGGGGTTTGGTGCTTTGGATAAGGGGACTTCAGGGTTTGGTGCTTTGGGGTTTTGTGTGTCAGAGCTTGGAGCTTTGGGGGGTTCAATGCTTTGGGGTTTGGTGCATCGGGTTTTGATGCTTTGGGGTTCAGTGCTTTGTGGTTCAGGGCTTTGGGGTTTGGAGCTTTGGGGTTCAGTGCTTTGGGGTTTGGTGCTTCGGGGTTCAGTGCTTTCAGGTTTTGTGCATCCAGATTCAGTGCTTTGGGGTTTGGTGCATCAGGGTTTGGTGCTCTGGGGCTCAATGCTTTGGGGTTTGGTGCTTTGGGATTTGTTGCATCAGGGTTTGGTGCTTTGGGGTTCAATGCTTTGGGATTAGGTGTGTCCAGGTTCAGTGCTTTGGGGTTTGGTGCTATAGGGTTTGGTGCCTCAGGGTTCCATGCTTTGGGGTTTGGTGTGTCAACAGCTCCAGGATGAGCCCCCCCAGCATGAAGACCCCGCGTCGCCTCTCCATGCAGCAGCGAGGTGAGCCCCCCGTGCCACGCTCCGTTGCACACTCAGTTGCACACTCAGTTGCACATCCTTGCACACCCCGTGGCATGCTCTGTTGCATGCTCCGTGGCACATCCTTGCCCTCTCCATGGCCACGGCACACTCTGTTGCACACTCCATGGCTCACTCTATGGCACATCCTTGCACACTCCATGGCATGCTTTCTTGCACACTCCTTGGCACACCTGTTGCATGCTCCATGGCTCACTCTGCGGCACATCCTTGCACACTCCATGGCATGCACTGTTGCAAACTCTTGGCACACCCCATGGCACATCCTTGCACACTCCATGGCATGCTTTGTTGCACACTTCTTGGCACACTCCTTGGCACGCTTTGTTGCACACTCCATAGCTCACTCTCTACCACATCCCTGCACACTCCATGGCACATCCCCATGGCACTTTTTGTTGCACGCTCCATGGCTCACACCGTGGCACACCCATGCACACTCCACGGCACATTCTGTTACACACTCCTTGGCTCACTGTGGCACACCCTTTCACAACTCCACGGCACATTTTGTTGCACGTTCCACGGTTCACTCTCTGGCACACCCTTGCACACTCCATGCACGTTCTGTTGCACACTCCTTGACACATCCCCATGGCACACGCTTTGCTCCACACCCCCCCCACATTGCTCAGCCCATCCTTGCACACTCCCACACACCCCACGGCCCATCCTTGCACACTCCCACCCACCCCAACACCACCGATCCCCCCTTCAACTCCACCTCCCCACAACTTGGCACACCTTTCTCTCCGCACACAGAGGACGGGGACCCCCACCTCCCCATCCTCACCCCTCCACCTTCCACGATTGAATTCCCCCCCTTCCCCCCTGCTCACCCCCAGGCCCCAGCAGCATCAACCAGCTGGGGGGGGTCTACACCAACGGCTGCCCTCTCCCCCCATGCAAGAGGCAGAGCATCATCCAGCTGGCAGCACACGGCGTGCGCAGCACCGACATCTCCCGCAGCCTCCAGGTGCGCAAGGATGGGGGTCCTTAGAGGGGGTGGGGGTCCCCAAGCCCCCAAATCTCCCCTCATTTCCCCAAAATCTACCCTATAGGTATCCAATGGTTGCGTCAGTAAAATCTTGAGTCGTTATTACCGGACTGGTTCGTTAAGACCCAAAAGTTTTGGGGGTAGTAAACCTCGTGCTGTTACCCCCGCCGTGGTGGCACGAATCGCGCAGCTGAAGCGTGAGCAGCCGTCCCTCTTTGCGTGGGAGATCAGGCAGAAGCTGCAGCTGGAGGGGCTCTGTGGCAACCTGAGAACCCCCAGCGTGAGTGGGGATGGGGGG